TTTGGGTATCATTCTTACACAAGGCCAGAAGAACAGTGCTTGAAGAGAAATGCAAAGTCTTAAGCAGCTAAAAGAGGCTGAGAATTGACACAGTTTAGTTTGAGAGAAAATGATGCTGGTAACATAAACAGAGGCCACGCAGGGAAGTCATCTATGGAGTTAACACTGATCACTGGGGATGGCAAACACTGCAGGACGGTAAACAAAGGACAGAAATGCCCACATTTGCTTTTCAGAAGTCCCTTGTGCCTCTCGCCTACTCCTCACCATGAAGAAGCTCTTCCTCAGCAGTCCTGAAAACAACATAGGAGTATATTTTGTAGGAAAAATAACTAGTGAAGAAAATTATTTGAAAGGATTCAAGTGGTCAAGTACTTTGGAAGTTTTCAGTGATATAGTTAGACAAAGAAGTTATTGTTATAGATAAAGGAAGACCCAATTCTTGGTAAAAATGAACCACAACCAATATATGTGTATATACAATGGACATATATTTGTGTATTAGTTCTTTCAAAAAGACAAAACAGAAATATGGAAAACTAAGAAACCACCAGCTAATCCATGAAGATCAGGAAGAGGTGACACATTTCAATTGAGCCACATCAATTTTTTTGAGTAGTTCAAATATATAAATTTTACTCAAGTAATTCAGATGAGGGAAATAGCCTGAACTGAGTAGATGGAACACAAATATTCTACCCTGCCTAGTAGAAAAGTATTGCTAGTTACAAATGCTATCCATATACATGGCTTTCAACTTTGTAACAGCCACACCTACAAAGTAAAAATCAATATAAAACTCATTCAATTAATATCTTAATTCAAGCAAAATATCATTTTAAAATGTTGCCAATAATATCTATCTCATTTTCACACTGTATCTTCCTTTGTAATTTGGCCAAGTGTTTTACAAACAGCCCAGATTAATTCACACCAGACTCATCTCATCCCAGGTACATAAAGCCCTGCTTCATTCAGCTCTGCAGTTCTGGAGGAAACCGAAGGTTTTAAACAGGTGAGTTTCATTGACACCTTCATTGTAGGCCCAGTGATGCATGGCCGTATCCAGCCCTGGTCTCACCGTCTCATTTGGTCCAGCCTTTATAACCCAGCTCCATCATATTCCACCTGAGAAATCTTCATACTGGGTACATTTTATTGACACCAGTGTGAACATAGGATTATGGCAAAAATCTACATTTGAAGTGAAATGTTTTAGAAAACATTAAGAAAACATCTTTTAAAAAAATCTACCAACACAATTTTGTATAGAAGTAAAAGATAAGTTGATATGACTCTTGCATTTCAACTGTGAAAAGCTTGGGCAACTCTAGGTATCTTCCACTTAAGGAGAGGGAAGTAAATAACAAAATTCCCCTATAGAAAATTTCACTTGTTAAAGCATACATCACCTGATATCTCTACCCAAATACCTAGGTAGAGAGTTGTGGATGGAGCTCTATGTTGTTGCTTTTTGATATTTTTGGGTTTAAACTTCAACTCTTCTACTCAGACACAGAACAACTACATAAATTTAGATATTTCACATAAATGAAAATAATAAAAATCCCCTGGTTTTTCATTTCCCTAGTCATTTAGGAGGAGAAATTACCTAACATGGTTGAATATTTAAGTGTAAATTTTAAATAAATAGCATGTGATGATACTGCCCAAACAAAATGCAATATAAAATATTGTGAAATCATTACAATGATATTTTGGAAGTTGAATCTAAGAAGACTGCCACAGAAGCACAATGCAAAATTCTGAGCTTACTAGTAAGTCTGTATTTTAACAGAACAAAAGAAATAAACATGAAGAAATCATTTTCAGAGTGATGAACTATCTTGAAGAGTGTGGTCCTTTTGAAGTTGGAGTCATTGTGAACATAGTCATAGAGACCACAGTGTATTGTTAGGCTAGTTTTGAAGTACACTGAGGGTGGAAGGCAGCCGTCTATACTGCTGTGAACACAAAGCACAGGGACTATGAACAGACTCACTCCAGCATTGGGGAAGGGTCATGAGACTGATGAATCTTTCGCTTGGCTAAATCACACAGCCGTTAGGGATTATTGCATGAAGGAGAATACATTTTATGGCATTATTGCTTATATTCCCTCCACATTTGCTAGAAAATTGACTTTGTTTCCATGAGAATAGTATTGTGTTATCCTTGACTTTTCATCAATTTCTTTTATTACGCCCCAAAAGTTATTCACAAAACGTTATGGTTTCCATTTTTGTGTTCGATCACTGATGTGTGTCAAGTTACTATTCATGTCAAGGCAAGAAAGTGATAATGTTTTTGCACTGTTTTAATTGCCAACCAGTAAACAAAATATATAATTTAAGAAAATTTGATATACATATAGGCAACTCACAAAGCAGATACATTTTCAGAATGCTAATCACTTTGAAAAATAATTCATCATTTTACAAAATAATTAACTGTCATTTTTAAATAGTTTTCCTATTGAAGCTAATATAGATTTATGTACACAGAGAGTTTCAGGAGTGCATTTATCCCATGTGGTGATTAGCTCTTTATAGTACACTTTTGGGGATTCTAAAACAGTTGTGATAAATGAAGTATTATAATTTAGCCTCAAGTCTCTTAAAACTCAACTGGATTTTCCATATTTTCCTCCATCAATTCAGGCAAAAAAAGTCACAAAAGTATGTTTTGTAAAATCAGGAGGGACTAGAACCTAAGAAATGCTATTAACTCAAACAGAGGGTGGTTTTAATCTTCCCTTAGTGTTAGGAACTTCTGCAGACAGCAATATATTTGAATGGTGGATTGACCTGAAATTAGTCACTTAGAGACCTTCAAAGCACACTTTCCTTTGTCATTAATCTTACTGTTGGTTTTGCTTTCTTATTCTACCTTCCTGTACATCGTAATTAATGCTGCATAATAATCAGTGTTTAAAACTATTTCCAGGACATTTGATACTAACAATATTCAATATTTCTTCCTCCTCATAAAAGCATCTGTCAGTGACACCTGGGGGCAGCAAGAACAATCATTTCTGGGACACTGAAACACAAGGTGTTACCTGTTTGACACAAAGACCTCTATTTTCAGTCACCATGTTTACTGGTAAAATATCAGCACACCTAACCCCGATACAAAAAGCTACTAGAGAAAAAAAGGTTTGTTGATTTTATTACTTTTGGTGGTATTTGAAGGACAGAGGGGATCTGAAATTCAGTTCTGAAGAAAATGAGTAATGGTGCTTTATAGGGTCATTGCTTCAAAAACATATACACAGGAGACAAGAGCAATCAGTAAAACAAACCCCAAGACTAAAGATAAACCTGCACTTCCCCTGTTGCTGAATAACTGGGTGTTTTGGTGGCATTGGCATTTACTCTGAGTCTCAGTATACTAGAGATAAAGGTGTGTTTGAAACAATACTTACATTTATCAGGCTTCTGCTTCTTTGAATGTATTCAGCCCACTCTTAAATGCCCAGGATAAAGCAGATTTAAGAGCAAGCAGGAACTCATTGTCCTGACTTTCTAATATTTTGGGTCCATAGCTCAGAACCCACACTGAAGGCTTTTTAGAATCTTCTAACTTCAATGATATAGTTTGGTCTAAGTAATCAAATGCAGTAATCTTTAGTTCTGTGCATGATTCTTGTTTACCAGAAGGTATGCATGCTTACAGAGTTACTCAAACTTACTGTCACAAAATATAGGATTTAGAATTGGCAATAGTAACCCTTTCAGGTGTAGATTTTTCCTAGTGTTTATGTTCTGGAGTGGGTGGTGGTGGTGGTAAAGGGCACGGCTCTGAAGGAGTCAGCACAGCTCTGACTAATGGGGGATGTTACCTTAGATTATTGTTTGACTCAGTTTCCTCATTGAAAATGGGTTAAGAACAGCAGCTATTTAAATGCCGTTACACATACGCCAGTTTGTTGCACATGTAGATCAGAGGCTGACATTATTACTGCTGCAGTTTCATATTTTTGATATATGGTAACTAGAAACTTGGCTTTATCATATTAATACAGTTTTTGTCAGTGCTAAATTATGTATTTTTTGTCGTCCATGAAGATAAGTTCTGAAATAAAATAGCTTCAACCCTTTTAATTGATTTGAAATAAATGCTCACAGCATGTGGTGAGACAATGCTCCAGGATGGGTTCACCACAGGGGCAGTTAGCTTAAATTCTAAGAAGTTGCCAATTCTATTTGTATAATAGGCATGAATACTTCCCTCTTAATAGCTTGCTGAATGAATGCAGTCTAAGGCAATTTCTCTTGTAAAGGACAGAAGAAATAGGAATTTTTAAATTTCCATAAGAAAAACTATATATGTGTGTATACTGATAAAATGAATGAATTTTAAGTAATTTTAGTTTTAAAGAAGTATATGTCCATCACTCAGGGAAAGAGGAAGGAACTGTTAGGTTTCTGTACCTCTTCTAAGTTGATGACAATATTGTACAATGGTTGTGAGTGCTAAAATGAACTTTGTTTGAATTAAAATTGTTAGCATGAGTTCATTTTCACAAGCATGAGTATGTTGCCTTGTTTAACTGTTCAAACATTTCAAATTTATTACCATTTTATTACTGAAAAACTTGTCCACATTTTGGAGATGTGGCTTTTAGTATGACAAAATGTCAGTATGAATCATAATTCATTATTTGTTAACACAATAATTTCTTTTACTTACTTAAAGAATGGCCTAAAAAATCTACAAACTGCACCTGACTTTCATGTTAATAGATGGTTGGAACATGGCCCCCATGAGAAGGGGGTTGCTTGCTTTAATTGTGTACTATAATTATTTACATGTTTGTAAGAAATAATCTAGTAATAGTCGTTTATTAAAGCCAGACTGTGGACTGTATGGAAGTCTGTAGTGAGTATTCATCTCTAGTGATTCCCCCCAACAAGTTATGAAAATGTCTAATGTCTAATATTCCAATATACACTTTTTGTATATAAAAATATCTATTGTAGGAGTCAACTACCACATGAAATAAATTGCATTTGTTTTAATTGAAAAAGATAGCTAAAAATTTTCTGTAGGTTTTTGCAACAGTACAAGAATACAAGGTGCTTTTATTTCGTAAGAGAAACAACTGTAAAATAAATTGTGAAAACAAAAGCAGGCTACAAAACAGAAAGATTCTTGGTTGCCTTTGCTCTTTTAAGCAAGTTACAGGTGATTATGCCACAATGGATAAACACGAGAAAGTGTAAGTTAGCATTTGCTAATGTGATTTTAAACATTTTCCTCACCAAGAGCACTATAGAAAATATGTATAGGTATGGGAAACTCCTCCTCCGAATATCACAATCTTGTGGTCACATAATCTTCGTGGGCAACTGTGTCCGTGAGGCTTAAATCATAGTCTATGCTCGAGTCCTCTTCCTGGGCATGCTTGTCCTTTGGTATGATGGGCACTGTGTCCTCGACCACCACCTTCTCTGACTGGAAGGAGCACACTCTCTTGCCTACCTGTAAACCCAAAGTGTCCGTATTCCTTTCTCTATGGTCTACTAACACACACTGTTCACTGAGACCAGGAATGCTCAGGTCACCCCGTGTAGCTAATCCTCGGGATTCCAGTTGAATATTTCTCTGAAGTGGTCCTGCCGCCTGTTGACGAGCAATTTCTTCTGAAACAGAGAAGATTTGGTTTGCATTTTGCTCAGCAGCGTTTTGTTTTGATCGTCTATGAAATAACCCGAAGTTTTTGATATCAGCCACAAAATTCACTTTTCTCTGCTTCTCCCTGTGCGGCTCCTGCACCATCAGGGCAGAGCCATTGCTTAAGTTATGTCTCTCGGAGGCAATTGCTGCTGACCTCGGGTGAATCAGAGTGGTTAAATCAAAAAGGCTGAAATTCTTTTTCTTGTCCTTGCTATTACCTTCGCTATCACTCTTTTCATCAGAGTCTGCTGAATTCGCAGCGTTGGCTGATTGTATTGTGGAGAGCTTGCTTCCTCTTAGCAATCCCAGAACTTCAAAGCGGAAACTAGAAATGTCTTGCTTTAGTTCCTGAACAAAATCCAAAATGACAAATTAGGTCATGCCTTAAGGAAGCATTGGAATTATCACTTCATAATTTCATGTTCAAGTCTGAAATGGTCCCACTCCTTTACAAGACCCTGGACTGTCCTGCCCTCTGAGTCTATTTAGAACTCCCAATCCTTTCTCTGGCCCTCAGTACCCTTTTGATGCCCAACAGTTTCCCTACTGGAGTTGTACAGTTTTAATATGATTAGTCTTCACTTCCAACTTGATTCAACAGAGATGCTGAAGGGATTAGTAAAGCTCTCTACTGGGCAGTAGCATTCCTGTGCTGCTGTATCCAGAGAGGAGCAGATCCTAGGGGCTCTAGCCTAATCAATGGATTAATCCCTTGATGGATTCATGATAGGCTGACTTTATTGGGATGCGGTGGAAGGTAGGAGGTGGGTCCTGGCTGGAGCCTATAAGCTCCAACCTGCCTGCTCCATCATGCTTCCTCTGCCATGATGGACACCTCCAAAACCACAAGCCCAAATAAATCTTTCCTCCTTTAAGTTGCTTTTCTTGGGTATTCTGTTACAACAATGAGTAAAGTGGGACACATAAAGAAATCGAAGGTTGATAGAAGGAATTATACTTCCCGTCACTGTATGATGGGCTTTGGAGTTTTCTGAGACTTTAAATATTTACTCTCCAAACACTAATCCACTGTGAAGTCACTTCACTTATTCAAATGGAAATGTTTTAATATTGTAAATTTTCTACCAGTAGAGATAGCCAAAGAAAGCGGACCCTGCCCTTCCAAGAATCTTCAATTGTTCAGTGCCTTGATGACCTATACAAAGTGCTGCACCTCTAAGTCCCAGCTCTGCTTCACAGGAGACTTGCTGATCCCACCCACCTCCTGTCTTATGTCTTTGGGCATCATCATTCTCAGCCATCTTGGCGATCTACTCCCTCCAAGATGTCTTCCATGGCAACCATTTAACTTTGTTGTTGGGATTTGGGGTTGTAAAAAATATTTTGGAACTTATTAATTTAGAATCTGTGCTGTAAGTTTGGCGATTCACCTACCTTTTCACTAAATGGCTGCTTATCTTTTCCCTCTGTCAAAAGAGCTGCTGCTTCCGTAAAAGTCTCTTAACACTTTCATTTACTTTGTTTTAGTTTGTAAAGTTGTATTGGCTTTAAAAGCACTCTCCCCAAATCTCTAGCCCGCCATGCAGAACAACAAAATCAATGTGTATTCAATTTTAAGCTGTAATTTTCTGATATGCTAGTTATTTGCTCTGACAGAACTTTAAAAATAGAAACTCAAGTACAAAAACTAAGTTTATAAGTTTTAATTAAATCAAACATTAAGTCCTTGCCACCCCAGTGCTGTGGAACACCTAGAAGGCTTTTGCTGTTGTTACTGGGTTGGCTATGAAATGCTTCAGAGTTAGAAATCAGCCTGGGATATGAAACAGCAAGGCTCACTTGGCAGAGCCGGGCTGGGATCCGAGAGTTGGAATACCATGAGGCAATACCATGAGTCGGAATACCTTGCTACTAAGTAAGTCCCCTTGACATTTTGGGTTAAGTATGTTTCAATATAGTTTATTTTGAGAAGAAATTTCTCCACTTGCTGTTGTTTTTCTTAAAAAAAAAAAAAATTCCACAGAAGTTTAATTTAAAAAACAGAAGGCAGAGCAAGTCTGCTAGAACACATGGCTGGGTTTCCAGCTCTGGCTTCAAATGTGCCATGGCTGGTTCCACACTGCAGACTCTTATCTCTGTGATGAAGATGACATGGTTACCGACCTTAAAGTTCTCTTCAGTCAGGCCCTCTTCGGTTTTGGCATCTCTGATCATGGCTGCCACATACCGCTTCACCAGGTTCCTCATAACTTCCTGAGGCATATTAGAACAACAATATTGATAGTCAGTGTATGAATTTTCTTTCTGTCCTGAGTTAGTTCTGTGTTATATTTTAATGGAAATTTCAAGATAGAACACAAGGATTACTTACTTGATACTGGTGATGTCTTCTCAAATTGTCAGCAGCACGCCTCTAAAAAGGGAAAAGACAGGTCCAGCTTGGTTATATAGGTATATTGTTATTATGAAAAATAATTACCACTTTTGTAAACAAGACTGTTCTTATTTCTCTTTTATCGCCAAAGTGGGAGGCAATGAACAATAGTCACACGCGAGTGTTTACATGAATCTAAATAGTGAACGAAAATGAAAAAGCTTGGGACACGTAGTGGAGAATAAATGGACAGTGGTAGAAATGTGGTCCTGGCATAGGATTCAGGTGATGGAGAATTAGCTAATTATACTTGATATACATCCCTAGTCCCTGGAAACACTACCAAACAGAGATAGGAAATACCAAGGAAAGACATGGCAAATGAAATTAAAATTTTTTCATAAAAATCAACACAGCAAAATTTAGAAAGCAGTTATGATATGCAATAGGAAACCTTACAGTGACTAATGTCCAACAATAATTTCAGCTGTATGTCCTTTGAGAGGGGATTCTTGCTTTAGTTAGATAAGTGGCTTCAATAAAATAAATGATTCAACTGCAGCGTCAGTTAAATTTACATACTTCTTTTGAGAATAGGGTCTCCCTCCAGCCCCAGCCGGCACAGGGCTCACTGTGTAGACCAGGCTGGACTCAATTTTACAGAAATCCACCTGCCTCTGCCTCCTAAATGCTGGGATTAAAGGCGTGTGCCACCACACTCAGCTCTCAATGTACAATTTTTAAAAAGACAAATGTGATGTTCAGCCACCCTTTTCCGTGAGAGTCTGAATTTGGAACCCAGGGCTTTTAGTAAGCTAAGCTCTTTATCATCAAGCTACATCTGTAGCCCCTATGCACCTCAGTTACCTCTTCAAAGAGATTAAGATGTTTTGTGAACAGAAGTGGGTGGGAACACTATCAGTTTTGTAGTACAGAATAGATAGATGATGGTGGATGATGACGAAGTTCAAAAGTCTATTATAAGCCAACTTAAATAGCAAATGAGATTAAAATTATATATTTTCATCTTTTAGAAGTATTCTAAAACATTAGCAAAAAGCTACCTATTATAAACCCATATTATACATTTTATTACACAGCAGTAATGATTCTTAAGGAAGAATATGGGCCCAAATCAATCTAGAATAAAAATATTTCTGTAATAAAGAAATTAATTTCATATATTTTGAGAAGCAAAAAGGATAATATTTCTTAGTTTCTAATAAGCCTTTGATCTTGTTCCTTTCTAAATAATTACAGGCTGATAAAATAGAATTTATAAAGAGTTGTGCATGGATGTGAAATGATATTTTAAATTTATATTTAAAAAGTCAAACATGTATCTTCACAGATGTAGGGAAATGGTGTTCCACAGGCTATAAGAGCTGCATTTCAAGATAAACAGTGACTTGTAGAGAAAGATGAGGCGATACTTTGATTCTTTTCTTTAATAAAAATGTTTATTTTTCTTTCATGTGTATGACTGTTTTGCTTGCATTTATATAGTGCACCACTGGTGCCAGTGGAGGCTAGCAGAAGGCATCAGACCCCTGGAACTGGAGGTTGTAAGGTGCCACGTAGGTGCAGGGAACTGAACCCATGTCATCTGCAAGAGTGGTACATGCCCTTGACCATTAAGCCATCTCTCTAGCCCCAGTGCTTTGATTCTTAAAGCCACTGATTATTTATACATCATCCATTGCTGCATGGGAATTTTATTTCCTCATGATTAGGCATTCGTTTAAAACCTAGGAAATTAGAAACAACATTAGGACTTCTTGAAAAGTGTAGCACAAAAATTTTATAGCTGTGCCACCAGATGGGGGTGTCTGACTCCTGTTGAGACAAAGCTCAGCTGAGCTCCAGGACAAAAAGTAGTTTGGGACGGAAGTATAGGCATTCCACATATCCGTGGAGTTACTTAAAATGAACAAAAATACTAAAATTATTTGTATACCAATTTCTTTAAAACTCACTAAAAATGTTAGTAAGAAAGCTAACTTGTAGGATTTAAGTACAGAAACTCTTAACTCAATATAAAACTAGTTTAATCATGTCAGTTCACTACCATGGGGGCTATTGCATTTTATTACCCTGTTCTAGAACTCCTTAAATTCAGTAACTCAGTAAATTCATTTTAAACAAAGAAGTTTGAGCTCATGGTGAACGTTAACTTTATTTAGCACAAAACAAAAATTAGAGTTGATAAAATCAGAGAATTATGAGTAGTAAGCAAAAATTATGATACATTTTAATATTAAAGTGGTCACAAATTGTTTCAGTAGATCTGTACTCAATATCCATAGTTTAAAATATTAATTCAAGTACAAAAAGAACTGAAGATTATAGTTTAAAGTAAACCACAATTTATTTTCCTTGTGGAAGTTTTAAAAGTTTGTCAGGAAGAGGAAATCATGAGAAAAACTTACTATGCTAACTTTCAGGGGTTAATTTTCACAGGTTAGGCTTACTGCTAACTTAACGTCATTAATTGTTTTCTGTCAACTGATTATTTTCTGCATATCTTTGGTGATACAAGTTTTTTGTACTCTTGTGGTAATATAAGATTTTGTAGTCTTGTGATATTATGTCAGCCATCTTAACCTCAACATCCTGGTTAGAAATGAAGTTAACCACCTTCTGAATGTCAACAGCAAAAGTCGGATGCAGTGCACTCACCGTGTGGTGGAGAGGAAGGCTTCGCCCCTTTGTCTTTTCCCTCTCTCCTACCCCAGCACCTCAGCTAGAGCCTTGTTTTAGTCACCTGTTAATCTGCCTACCAGTTTCTATATTCTACCTTTGGAAGGTGGCTTGGTTTAATATTAAAGATGTGGAATTAAGGGCTATGCCTGGCTGACTGAACCTGGGAGGTCCTTTTTTTAAAGGTTTAAGGTGAAAATAAACTCATTGGGTAATTTTGAATATAAATGAGATAATAGCTCTTATTTAGAGGATGTCAATAACAGTAGCTTCTGTCATCTTTCCAAGCTTTTCACTTTTTAATTAGTAATATAATTTACACATCTTAAAATACTTTTTGAGTTGTCACAAGCATCATAAGCTCACCAATCTCTGGATTACTTTTAAGGAAATAAAGGAAAATAATTAGACAGTGTCTGCCTCTATTTGAATGATTTTTCATGGTACTTCATGCTTCTGGAAAGGTCTCTCTGATAGATCATGAGATGTCTTGGCCCTGGGAGTAAAGAGGAAGAGGAACAAGAAATTTTCATTTATGTGATAGAGTGAGGGAGAAGATGGTCAAACTCAGTCATCTGTTGGGGAGTCTGTGATTTTTATGAATATCTCTGTATGACATTGAATATCTCCTACAACCTTTGTGAATTTTCTTTTGTTTCTTTATAATTGCTATTAGCTTATACAGCCAATTTAAGATGCGTTTCTTAGAAGATTACATGTTCATATACACAATAGCCTTTTAGTGGGCTGCAAGAAACCCAAGTTGAACAAAACACACTTAGATGAAAGATATATGAATAGTCTGTAAGGTAATAGTAGGCGAGTGGTGCAAGATACTTGACAAACATAGTCAGGACTGGGTGTTGTGTGAGCACAGGCGAGGAGGGGCAGCATGGCATGGAGGAGAAAAGCAACAGTTGCTTTCAAACCAGGAGTGGGGTTTTAGATTGGACACGAGGAATCAGGATTTTGACAGACTGAGAAGCACAGGTGCTCTAGGAAATACAAATAATGTGAGCAAATACACTGGGCCTAGAGAGTGAGAGACAAGTTATTGGGAGGTTAGCAGGGATGTCCATGAAAAATCTTAGATGGCATAGTGAATTCAGTGGTTATTAGCACTTGGGATTTTTTATGTATTTAGATCAATTTATTAAGCACAGATAATACAAAGTATATAATATTTTTACTTTCATATATCCACATATTTAGATAAAATATTATACACAATATTTTTTCCAAAAAGGATTTCTTTTATTTCAATTATGTTTTATTAAATCTTTGTAGATTTCATACAATACATTTTAATCATATTTAGACCTTCTTTATCTCCACCCACCCATAGCCTGTCCACAGTGCTTCACTCATTCTGGAGTCAAGTTTGTGTACCCAGATGGGTACAAGTTTGTGTACCCAGGATGAACCCTCAGTGTGAGTTCATCCTGGAACCTGTTCAGTCTATCTGATATAACTCCCTTACCAACTCCCTCACCCAGCAGTCATCAGCTGCCAATAGCTCCTCGTCAAAGCTGTGGCCTCCTGCCCATTTGCTCAGTTCCATGCTGGGTTTTTATCTGACTGAGTTTGCATGGGTCTTGTACATGCTGACCCCATTGCTGTGTCACATGAGCAAAATCCTAGAGGCTGGAAAGACTCTGTTTCCTTAGGGTTATGCAACACCCCTGGCTCTTACAATCTTTCTGTTTCCCCATCTGCAATGTTCCCTGCACCCTGGGTGGGTGAGGTTTAACCAAAAAGGATTTCTTTTTTAGAAAGAGCCTCACCATGTAGTCCAAGCTGACTTGAGCGCCCTATGTAACCCAGGCTGATCTTGAACTCATGATCCTCTAAACTTAGCCTCCATAGTGCTGAGATTATAGGCACATGGCAGTATACCCAGCTTCTGATAAAGACTCTTTGTTGTCATCTGAAATGGATACTATCTAAAGGGAGATTGTACAAAACTCCATCTGTCTATAAAGCCATCAACTCTTGCTGACAGGCCTTATTGGTGCATTGTTAGCCCTTGTTTCAAGATATAGTCCCAAAACATACCACCCCCAACCATAAAGCAATTCCTTTTCTGCAAACAAGTCCTGCCAAAACAGGTCCGTATTGGAAAAATTCAGGCCCTAAGCCCGTTCATATACCCCTACCCAACCCCCATAACACTATCTCTGTATATAAACATACTTAAACTTCTCTGTCACTTGATAGGCATGGCTACTGTATACACAATATTTTTGACATATATATAACACACATATTATAGCACATTTATATGTAAACATATTTTATATATATATTTAACCATTTAATTTAGTATTTCAACATGCCCT